GAAGACAAAATATTTTGTTTATACTCATATTTTTCTTCTAAGTAGAAGCTTTTATGCTTATTTTAATTTTGTCCCTGAGTTTCGAATTCTGGTGAACAGTAGTTGGTCAGAGACGGTGTCATGAGAAGTTGCCTATTAGACCCACTCTGTAATGGTCAAGAGAACAACCGTATAGGAAAGTACAAACATATCTTTTAATATGTAATGTTAATTTGAATGTGCTGGGTAACAAACTTTCCCAGTTCCAGTAAGAGTCATGATAGATCGTAGAACAATATATATAAGAAGCCTGCAGTAAAGTGTTTTTGGATGGCTCTCAGGAGAAACATTTGGCACGAGAGTCACTTATTGAAAATAACCCAAGACAGTGAAAATCTATGAGACATACCACAAAGTAATATAAAACATGGCCACTCGGAAGCTCAGCTATTAAACCCGGGTAAAGATATTTACAACTCCAATAAAACAATAATGTATAACACCAGAAAATAACTTAGTGTGTATTTAGTGTGTAGAGGGAATTTAAAGAAAGACGCTATTGCAGTATATTTAGTTTTTATCATTGTTTGGTTAAATACAAAAAATGATTGCTTATCAGTTCATATTTTGCAATGGAACTATTTTAGACGTAAATAAAGACGCGCAGTTGGATTTCTGTGTTCTGAGGCTTTATTAAAATATATTCTTTTCAGGAAGGAGCAAGGTAGAACTAGCGAAATCCACGCCTTATAAAACACCGGGAATAGATGATTCCGTTTCTTTATGCAAACCTGAACAGAATAATTAAGGACTGTAAGAAGATGTATTATGACGCCTTCCAAAAGCTAAGCAGAGTATTAAGAGACAGAAAAATTGTGTTAGAAACAAAGAAAAGAGTACTGGACTGTTACGTGATATTTGTCCTTTTGTGTGGCAGCGAATGCTGGAATTATCAAACATGAAGAAGATACTGGAAGCAACAGAAATGTGGTTCTACAGAAAGATGCTGAGGATACCATGGACCGAACATGTGAGAAGCAATCAGGTTTTGGTGAAAATGGAAACAAAAAGGAAACTTATACTTAACATCAGGGAGTGGCAGTTGAAATTTCTGCGCATATAATGAGGAAAGAGAGCTTGGGAAACCTAACACTCACAGGGACAGATTGAGGGAATGAGGGACAGAGGAAAGCAGCGCGTAACATACTTGATGAACTTGAGCAAATGAATGGCAGAACAGGTTTTGGGAGAAATAACAAGAGCTACAAGAAGATGTGGAGAGCCATAATCATCTACGTCCTGAAAGGACATGGCGTATGAAAGAAGTAATTAAAATCGGAAAATGTTGGCAAATATTAATTGATAAGAGGTTTAGATGCTGGTATTTTTGTTTCTTTTTCCAAAGACAGATTTAGACAGCAATATTTGTAATCTAGTAGATGGAATTCATTAGCCTGGGAAGGCAGTCTATATAACAGGAGGAAACTTCGAAAAATATGGTCTACATCAAGTATGGGCAACCTTTAACAACTAGTAGACCGTAAGAGATATCTTTCATTATAATGGAAGTCACGTTAGGAAATAAATTTAACGTAATATTCATGTGACCTTTTGTGGATGCAGTGGCTTTTCAACAATCTTCCTTGGATTTTCATCAGCCCAAATGCGACAATTCTGCTTATTAACGAATCCACCAAAATTAAAATGGGCTTCATCACGAAAGACGATCTTTTGCGAAAAATCTTCATCGTCTTGTCTTTGTTAGTGCACCCAATTGACGAATATACGGCGCACCAAATGGTCAGCAGGTTTCAGTTCTTGTGTCAATTGAATTTTGTAAGTGTTTACAAATACTCCCAAGGAAATTAAATTTTGGTATTAAATGACCTATAAATAATTTATATGCTGTTAAACAAACAAAACAAACAAAAATAAACGATTGCTTGAACTATGAAAAATTTAGTATTGTATTCTGAACATGGAAGTGTGGTGGAGGAATAGGAGAACCGAGATCGAATTCCAGTCGAGTTCATTGCATTCACTTACGTGCTAATACACTTGGGGACGGTATGAACGAATCTCTTCTCTGCCAGCTATAGGTAAAATAGCAGGACAGACTGAGCCCTATAGTCTTGATTGGCAACGTGTCTAGGAGAAGGAAAACTCTGAATTTAAACGACTTTCTGCCCTGTAGGTCACGCCTTTTTAACTTCTGAGAGAAGGGACGAGGTAACCTCAATATCTCCGATGCAAAAGGTACCGGCAAGTCGTTGTACTATTATTTTGACTTGAATGTCACCATGAACCACAATTGTGAGACGGAGGGGAGTGGGGACAACAACGGCGGCGCAAAATGCGTTAACTGAATAGATGATGATGATTCTGAACAGACGTTACTAACATAAGATCACATTTGAATAGACAAAAATACATATCGATAAACAGAAAATGTAGGAAAATGTTTCGACAATTAAATCTTCTTCTATATGCCGTCTCTCTTCAGGATGTGGACGATCATATCTCTCCGAAACTTCCTATCTTTCGTAGCTCTGTTTTTTTTTTTTATCTCTCCTATTTTCTGTTCTGCCATCCATGTACTCAAGATCGTGAGGCTGTTCGCTATTCTACTCTGTCTCTCTTTGTCTTGAATATATCATGTGAGTGTCAGATTCTCTAAGCCGTCTTTCCTCATTATGTTCACTAGAAATTTCAATTGTCTCTTTATGATTCTAAGTATAAGTGTCCTTTTTGGTTTCATTTTGCTTAAAACTTCGTCAATGCTCACATGTTCAATCCAGTATCTTTCTGTCTCAAGTTCCTTCTTCATTTGTGCGGTGAGTGTCCAGTATTCACATATAGGAGGGACCGATATTACATAACTGTTCAGCACCCATTTCTTTGTTTCTAACGAATTTTTCGGTTTTCTTATTACTTTGCTTAGCTTTTAACGGGCATCTTTCGCTATTCCAATGCACAACCAGATTTTGGCGTCACTTTTCCGTCCGCCGTTGAAGCACTTAGTAGATATTTAAATTTTCATACTTATTTGATTTTGATGTCTTTAATTCGTACTTTTCGGAAGATTAATTAATGGCTGAAGGAAAAATAAAGTAAAAGATAAAGTAAAAAGTATCAGAAACAAAACAAAAACAGAAAAAAAATATATCGATAATGATTTTACTGAGACTGACTCATTATTCATTTCTTAATATGCTGTCAATTATCACCTTTGCAAAATGGAAACAGGTGGACGTAATGACTTTCAAAGCATTGCCTATAGTCTTTTTTATCTTCTGTGGCGTTGTCATCTTACAGGTGGGCGTGTAGACCGAATAAGTGGGCAACAACGAAGTTTTAGGGAAGATGGAAACAAAAAGAACGCATAATGAGGAAAGAGGGCTTGGAAAACATCATACTCACAGGACAGATTGAAGGCAAGGCGGACAGAGGGACGCAACGTATAACCTGCCTGACGAGTAAATGGATGACGGAATAAGGTTTAGGAGAGATAACAAAAAGACAACATTTATTAAGAACTACGTAAGTTAGGAAATTGTGGCGAGCCATGATCGCCAACAGCTTGAAGGGACGCTACACATAGAAGAAAAAAGACGTAATGTCTTATCATGAGTGAGACTTTCAAAGCATTGTCTTCCTTCTTATTCTGTGTTCCGTAGACAATATGACGAGTGAGTTTGTCCGAGACACGATTAACGTTTTCTCAACAACTAGGTAATATCAATCCTCCTACAAGGTGCAATGGGTAAATTGTCGCCATTTTATATTTTTAATTTCGATCATGCGCATTGTTTGTTTTTGACTTTGTCGATTGCATAGTATAGTAGGGTCAGTTGGGCACCATCTGTGAGAAAAAGAGCACCATGACTCAATTCACTCTGTCAGAAATTTGGAAATAGCATGCTGTACTGCTTGGCATTCACGCCGAAATCTCCAATACAAACATTTTTTCGTGTTAGGATGCCAATCTGAGGACAATGCAGAGGATTCAGAAAGAGTTGGATGACTCTAATGCTGATTACGAAGGTACGGCAGCTCGGAAAATTCACTCTGATCGTTCTGGGAAGAAAAGAACTCCAGAATTTGTTGGTGAGAGACTCAGGCTCAACACCGAGGTCTACATCAAGTGCCTTGAGATGGTAGTGCTTCCTTGGGTCAAGATGGTGGCTGCTGGAAGATTCTATGTCTGGCAACAGGTGGTCTCAGCACTATGCCACACAAGGAGGAGAACATAGTCATCACAGTCAGACAATTTCTGCAACCACATCACATCTTACATCTGGCTACCTAACTCCCCAGACTGAAAGAACATTGGTTATTTAATGCTGGGCGCAGTTGAGCGAGAGAAAAAAAAAAAAAAAAAAAAGAAAAAGAAAAAAAAAAAAAAAAACTCTTTGTAACACCAAAGATGAACTGAAGGTGAGGATTATGTCAGCGTTCCCCAACTTAAACAAGGAGACCGCCCAGAAGAGCTGCAGGTGATTCCGAAGCCGTCTGGAGGCCGTGGTTGAAGCCAATGGCGATTTATTGAATAAATGTACACTTTAGAATCTGAAGATATTTTGGAGTAATTTTGGTAAATATAGCTGTTAAAATGAGATGTCAGTGTTATTTTCATTTTCGCGTCATTTATCTAACGCACCCTGTATATGCCAGTGAATGTTGAACAGTTTTCTCACAGATGAAGACGAGACTTGATGCAGTAGAAATATATTTTTACAGTTGAATGCTGAGAAGACCATGGACGGGACACGTGTGCAATAAGGAAGTGTTAAGTAAATGGGAACGAAAAGCACATTTGTGCTTAGGACTAGAAAGGGATAGCTGAAATTTCTATAACACATTATAAGGAAAGAGGGATTTGAGAATTTGAGATTCGCATGAGCTATTGAAGACAAGTGTTGCAAATGGAAAAAGCGCGCAACATGACTGGCTTGTGTAAATAGAGGGTAAATGAACTGAAAGACAGTAAGGGAGCAAACATTGATTAGATATATGATTGCTCATATACTGATATAGGTGGTAGATATCAACAGACTGAGAATAGATAGATAGATAGATAGATAGATAGATAGATAGATAGATAGATAGATATCAACAGATTGAGAATAGATAGATATGAACAGACTAAGAATAGATAGATAGATAGATAGATAGATAGATAGATAGATATGAACATACTGGGAATAGATAAATAGATAGATAGATATGAACAGATTGAGAATAGATGGATAAATAGATACAAAGAGATATTTTGATATCAACAGATTGAGAATAGAAAGATAGATAGATATGAAGAGACTGAGAATATGTATGTATATATATATATATATATATATATAGATAGATAGATAGATAGATAGATAGATATGAACAGGCTTAGGTAGGTATTCAGTCAGAAAATAGATAGATATAATGATAGAGAGAAAGAAAGTGAGAGAGTGGGTGGAACATAGGTAGACGAAGATTAAAAATTGGAAGGCTTTAATTGATAGATATGAATAGATAGACGCAAGCTGATTCCCAGATATATATGTATGAATAGACGAACATATTTGAAAACAAAAATTAAAATAGACACAGCCGTATAGACGGATATATGGGAATCGACGTCATATAATTCACGCCATAACAGAATGAATTCGATATGGATGCCCTTCTGCGTCACGAGTGCGTGGATGTGCATATGTGAGAAATGGAAATTAATGTTGTAAATCTATGAAGACGAATAGAATAGAAAAAAAAAATTGGTTGAAGATGATACAGATTAACTAACACACGTACACAGGAATACACGCGTTGATATCACGGTACAACTTGTCGCATTTGTTAAATTAGAAAAGCAAAGAAAAGCGAACATATCGATTGTAATATCACCGTAGACAGAATTAGAAGACGTGTGAAACTGAAAACAAATTATTACAATTATTGTTATATATTTTGACTAGTCTTTCATCTTTTGATAAATTTCCCAAATCGTCATTCTACAACTGAATAAAAAATAAATCTTCGGTAAGGTTTGAACGCGCATCCTTTTATACATCGCTGTACCAAATTTAGTCATTTAACTAAATCATATACCTTTATTTACTACTGTTTTCCCAAAGCTTAACCCTAGAACACTAACCCTGGGTATATAGTACCCAGCGCAAATTAATTTTCCTATTTTTAATTACAATTTTCAATACCTGATTTTCTTACCTAAATAATATTTTTCAGTTCCTATTAATGTTAACTCAAAGTACAAAGATTAAAGTGCCTGCATATAAAATACTTCAAATAAAGATTTATATTTAATAAATGTTTTGATATTTCCAAAATCGGGTATGATATAACCATGGTTATTAGTGGTGTAACTTTAATTGATGGTTAGTGTCCTAGGGTTAAGTACCATTTAAGGTAGCATGTTACTGAATAGGGTTGTTTTAAGGGTATATATATATATAGAGAGAGAAAGCAAGGGTTGTCCATTATCAGGATATGTAGACTAGAAGACGGTTGACCCTCGACTTGAAGAGGTTAAGAATAGAGTGATATAGGAAGCTTCCTATCGAGAGTCCATTCAGCATCGCAACAGTTCTGAGAAAGTAACTGTCTGAGTGGAACTTACTCCTTACCAATGGAATATGAAGGGAATGAGGCGGAATCGACTCAGTGAACTCAGCATAGCGGTTCCAAAGTGAAGGTCTGGCCTGGTGCAACCAAGGAATTTAGTTTCCTTGAATATCGGCCATGGAAATAACAGTGGAATAGCGAGAGGTTAGTGAATTAATCGCTTTTCTATGGCGGTTAAAGGCTGGAAAACAATTAATCAGCTACAAGGCAGCATAACGCTTTTAAACTCGGTCGAGACTGGAAAGGGACTATATACGGTATTAATCTTATACGATGCCACAATTTTTCTTGTTCGTTGACATTAGCAGAATTTGATGTAACAGTCTTTGAAATACATTATTAAATAGACGTCTTGGTTGGCTATACACATAACCGAAAGTGCTCAATATTTCTAGCAAATAGAAAAGACAGAGCGGTAATATTAACCAGCAAAACACAAGTTGTTTTGGTTCGACGAAAGCGTTTTGAGAAACTCGGATTAACGATTTGGACATCACCTCATTGTGTTTTTCGTTAGTGTATATATATATATATATATATATATATATATGTGTGTGTGTGTGTGTGTGTATACTTACGTGTATGTATGTATATGTATATGTATGTATATATGTGTATATATATGTGTGTATATGTATGTAATTTCTCGGACATTCTGGCCGGTAAATGTTGTTAATACTGTTTATTATAAACAGAACATTTACTTAAATATTTGTATCTATAAAAAGAATGTACAAAAAATGTCTTAAAATAATTGTCGGTCCATTTCATAATATATATATATATATATATATATATATATATGCGAACTTGATGTTGTTCTAAAGAAATGTGCTCCTGAACTGGCTCTTGTTCTCTCTAAGCCCGAGAACAAATGCCTTGTTACTTTTTGCTTTGTAGCTTGTTGGAAACCTCTTCTGGCATTTTTTTTGTTTTTAAGAATTCGGTTGAAACGATAGATCCTTCGAGTTATCCACCCTATTAGTCTTCTATCACTACTTGGCAATGTTCTAGACGCGCTAATCAACTCCGAATTGGTTCAGCATCTAACTTCGCACGTCTTCTTTCGAACAAACAATATGGCTTTCTCTTCTCTAGGTCAACCGCCGATACGTTAATGGTTATTACTAAAAAAACTCTGCTAAACTATAGATAAGAACAATCAAGCCCGGAAAGACAGGGTTTGACAGGGTTGGATATGCTGGTTTCCTTTTCTTATGAAAACAGCAATTATGTACTGATTTTCTTCGGAAATTAAAATATTTTGACTGCCAAAAGAAAATACCATCACAATCTATACATTAAGACAAAGAAAAACATTCCTGATAATGGCTAACAGATTAGCGAAAAGCACTCGGATCCATAGATCATTTGGACAGTTCTTACAAACTATGTATTCCAAAAAGAATTCCCTTGGACGCATCCCAGAAAAATATAATAAAAAGCATAATGTCAGTCATATTCAATGAAAAATGTATAAAAAGGGGATTTCTGCCGAAATAAACAATGAGAGAGAGAGAGAGAGAGAGAGAGAGAGAGAGAGAGAGAGAGAGAGAGTTTGTAATGGATAGTGGCATGGAATGGGAAATCCGAGATCCAAGTTCTAATTCCTGTCGAGTTCGTTACATACCCTGGGAAAAGGTAGAAATCCGTCTCTTCGTGTCCCAGCTATGGGGAAATAGTAGGGTAGCCGGGGCTTTTTAGCATTGGTTAGCGAACAGTCGAGGAGAATGACAACATGGAATTCAAAACCTCAGAAAGCCGTCATCGTGGCACACTATATGCACCAGTTTGCTGCATTTTCAACTGAAAAAGTCTGTATGATTTGCGCAAGCATTCACCACTGTAATCAATACATATGTGCCGAGGAATCTGAACGTTCAATTGAACCCTTATACGTCGAAGACGACGGGAGATTCTACTATATATATATATATATATATATATATATATATATATATATATGTGTATGCATGTATGTACACACACACACATATATATATATATAAATATAAAAACAAAAACGTTAAAAGATTTATATTTGAATTGTGGGTCTGATTAGTTGGAACCGATATTGGTTTTACCGAAATAAAATATCACCATGATCTCTTAATGTCTTCGTTTTTATAATAACTATTATTTGCTCTGTTTTTACATTGAGCTCTCTTTGGATTTATATCCTCTTCGGAATTATCCATACGGATTACCAAATATCATATATATATATATATATATATATATATATATATATATATATATATATATATATATGAAAATATATAGAAAATAGGAAGGAACTGGTTAGGTAAATAATCCAAAAGTCCCTTAGTATTTTAGTTATTATTTTTAAAAAAATAGTGCTCGATACAAAAGTAGAGCATAAATATAATTATTTATTTAAAAATATGATTCCAAAACGCGACATAAGAGGTCTCATGTTTCAAAACAAGAGCCGAAAACTTCAATATAATTATTTAAATTAAATTGAGTTAAAGTGAGCTCTGTTTCATCTTCAAGCGAAATTTTTTTTGGAATAACGTATTTCTGAAATTTACGTGTTTTAAAAATTGAAATCAAAATTTCCCAGGGCGAATTGTTTAAATTGGGTAGGCGAGTGTTGGGTGTTAATAATAAGTATCAGTATAGAGTTACTTTCGTAGTCAGGGAAAGGTGGGGGTGTCTAAATTTGAAACGGAAGATGTATTAACCCTCGTCTAGTTTGCATGTCTATGGAGATTTATTTATTTTTTCATTTTATTTTTTTATGAAAGGGATTTGTGTATATAAAAAACTGTCGTAACGTTTGTTTTTTGACGACTTCATAAAGGGTTATCTTTGTTTAGGGTATTTAAACTATTTATTTGGGCTATGGATTATGAAGGGTGTTATATCGTATGCAAGTTTTTAGTTAATTATTCAAACCATGAATCTGATGATTGGGCTATGGATTAAACAAGTTATTATATTGTATGCTTGTTTTTAGCTAATAATTCAAACAAAAATCTGATGATGTCTACAAAAAACCGTTAACTCGTGTCTATTGTTTAATAGATTATTATTATTTAGAAGCTTAATAATGTGCAATTTCTCATGGAGGCACAAAGGGCATGGGTCATCCCAAGTTTTACATGTTCTAGCCTTGTTTATAATTTTCCATTTAACTTTAGGTGTCCTATTTGTTTCCTTCAGATGCCAATTTCATCCTCAAGCGAATTGGAACTAATGTCTTTAATTTAATCACAAAATTAAATTCGTGGCTTTTAGCTTCCATTTTTGAAACATGGTTAGAACTGTGTAGCGAAAAAACCATATTTTAAATCAATTAATTTATATTATTAATGCTCTGTAAATTTATATTGAGCACTATTTTGTAAAAATAAAAATATCTATAAGAACACCGGATTATATATCTTGCTGTTCTTTCTTTTATTTATACACACACACACACACACACACACACACACACACACACACACACACACACACACACACACATATATATATATATATATATATATATATATATATATATATAGGTAGGTATATGCTAAAGACAACAGCACGTATTTTAAATACGCAAAAAATACAAAGTTGAAATTTTTTGAAAATACAAAACGCTAGGAAATTTGTACAATATATGTGTGTGTTACATATGCATTTATATGTGTATGTGTGTGTGTTAAATGTGCCTATATGTGTGTGTGTGTGTCTTAAATATGCATTTATATGTGTGTGTAAAATATGCATATATATATGTGTATCGAATATACATATATATGTTTGTGTGTTAAAAATATATATATATATATGTTTGTGTGTTAAATATATATATATATATATGTGTGTGTGTGTGTGTGTGCGTGTGTGTTTGTGTACGTTAAATATGCACATATATGTGTGTGTGTGCGTGAAATAGTCATATATATGTGTGTATGTGCGTGAGTGTTTAGAAATTAAGATATAACAAAAATATTTTTGGGAAAAGAGAAAAGCAAAAGTTTTCTAAACAAATATAGTTAAATGATGAACTTTATTAACGTAAATAAGAAAATAAAAAAAATGAAAAACATTATTAGACGTATTTACTAACTTTCCTTTATTGGACATCAAATTGCATTACTTAGCCAACGCCATAATTTACTTAGACTTTTCACGGTTAACCATATGAATATTTTTGAGCGTCGTTAATTTTATAAACGTTAAAAACTTTTATATATTATTTACTATGAAAGAACAGATGGAATAAAATAACCAGTTACTTACCATCACCTGAAGAAGTACAACCATAATAATGAAACATGAAAGCTTTTGTGTATCGATTTCAAAATGTTTTTATTATAATCTCTTTTAATAAAAATATTTTACACACACACACACATATATATATATATATATATATTACAGGTAATCGATCCGTTGGTATATAATCCGGGTGGTTCCTAGTAATATTAATTATTAAAACTGATCCACAGAGAGCTCGATGTATTTATTATAACAGAGCATATGTATTTTTAGAGCAAAAAACCCAAAATTACCTCAACATAGAGTATTGTCTATTTCAAGCTGTTCTGTACGCGGCTATTATCAGCCCCCCCCCGCATCTGTATGCGACTATCATTATCAGCACCCTCCATCAGAGGAGATGATGATAGCCGCGTACAAAACGGCTTGAAATAGACCATCCTCTATGGTGAGGTAGTTTTTAGTTGTTTTTGCTGTAATATATATATATATATATATATATATATATAATTAAAAATATACCCCTTATTTTTCTGAATAAATATGTTGTTATCTTGTTCAGTTGAAAGGTTTCTCTATAAAATAGGTTATCACTTATCAGGTTATGTTTGCCAATTGGTTTGAGTACCTACTGTTTCGAAATGTAGATTTGTATTGATTCATGTAAAAAAAAGGCAATCCACAATGTATTTGATCATTTATTATTTACTAGTAGAAATCCGCGTCGTTGCCTGGAGCAGAAGATCGAAGACGTAATATTAACTGAAGCCCAATGATCATATGCACTTAAACTAACCTGATTTGTCCTTTCAGTTAATGAACCATATTACATTTGAGCAAGAATGGTGTTAGCTTATATAAATATTTGAAACAGAAATGTGTGTAGGCGTTTTGTTAAGTTTCTAAGAACAAACGTTAATGATAAACAAAATTAATTTCGATTGTAAATTTGACTCAAAATTCTTTAACTGTGTCACATGTAGTAATGACATCAGTGAACTGGTTATATAAAAATCAATATGAAAAAGTAATTCCTTAATCATAGCATAGATTATTGATAAATAGTGTTTTTTTTATGTGGAATTTCAGTCAGTTATGTGCCATCCATGATACACGCTTAGGCAATCATGTATATTTTGATACATGACAGACGAGGCAGATTTTTTCCCGCAGTAGGTTTCTTTAGCCAACCAAGGCTATAGAACCCGGTCTGTCCTGCTGTTTACCCATAGATGGAGGGAGGAGAAGAGGATTCATACCTTTCCCAAGGTAAGTGAATGTAATGGATTCGATTGGAATTCGAACTCGGTTCTCCGATTCCTCAATCCGAGCCGCTATCCATTACTTCACCGTGCCTCCCCATATGGAATATACATGTAGATATTATTTGGGGATTGTGTTCGTGAGGCAGCAACATATAATTGACAATAGATAAAGCAGAAAGCTCACCGTTGTCATTCAGTTAAGTTCAACATTTGCCCTTGGAACTTGTTGATCGACATCGCAAAATATATAGTCTAAGAACTGCAAACATATGAAGTCAAATTTGTTGTAATTGAAAATAATTGAAATTCACGGAATGAACAGCCCCTCTCCTTACCATCACAGACTGTCAGCATCGTCTCTACGATCAGATATGACTTCAGATGTCCAGTAAGAGTAAATAGGTTCGCTTATCGCCCAGTTCACACTCCTTTCCTGTTGTTTCGTTTTGTTTTCTGCTCAAGGTTGGGTTTCCTTCTAAAATCTAATTCTCTTTCACTCCCAGGAACCTCTTGCATCTTAGCGGCATTATTACCTGGCTTAGGGTGAAATGATTTGAAAAAAGCAATGTCCGACTGTTAACATTGTTCATTTGCGTACCTATGGAGCAGACAAGTTCTCCAGAAGAATAAGTGATGCTCTTTTCTTTAGCATATTACATGGTTCTATGCTGTAGAAAAAATCTTTTTTATGAGTCGTGTCCCTTCAGGACGTGCATAATGATGATGATGGCGCTTCATAGCTTCCTTTTTTAGCTTGTAGCAATGATTGTTCCCTCAACATATTTCTCAATCGATGTTCTGCCATCCATTTGCACAAATTTGTTAGGTAGGTTACCCGGTCTTTCCCTTTGTCCTTCTTGCCTTCTTCAATTGGCTTACGACCATGTCACGTTGAAACAACGGTTTTTTATGCGATCATCGAAGTTAAGCATCGTCGAGCCTTGTCAATACTTAGATGGGTGATCACTTGGGAATATCAGATAATGTAAGCTTGTATATGCGGGTAGTGCAATGAATAAAGGCTCGGAATTGGCGATCGGAGAGCCGAGTTTCAATTCCAGTCGGGTTCGTTACATTCACTTACGCACAAATGCACTTGGAAAAGGTATGGATCCACCTTTTCTCCCCCAGCTAGAGATTAATTATTAGGACAAGTATCAGTAACTCATTATTATCTCTAAAAAATTCTGACAATCTAAAATTATTTTCTGGCTTTAAATAACCAGCCAAAGGTTGATAAGCCATCAATCAATTTTACCATCTCCGATTCTCCAAGCCCTCTTTTCTCGTTACTATATCCCATAACTTTTAACTTTCTGATTAAGTGCCGGTGTCGTTCTTGTTGTCATGTTCTATAAAACTTCCTCATTACTCACATGCTCCATCCGTGAGATACTGAGTTTCCTTCTATAGAGCGATAAGTCCTCTTCATCTGTGAGGAAATTATATTGTATGTCATTAGTTTCCAAAGTTCTGCTAATCACGATCCTTTCCGTTGTATAAGGATTGTTTTCCTGGTGAGATAAATATATACACTTACCGCTTTAGAAATACATATTGCATATATTTTAATTCTTTTCTTGTTCCCGTTTTCATTAAAACTTCCTCCGTCTGTGGTAACTTCAGCATTCTTTTGTCGTACGAAAGAAATTCAGTAGAATGTTTCACACGTTCGAATTGATTTGACAAAAAGTAACTTGTATACATTCACATCAATATGCAACTATTAATGAATGTTTTTATTGATTCTTTTAATAGACTTATTAACTGTGACAAGTTTATGGCCATTCCAACAAACATTGGTGATTGTGTTGGTTACGTTGAATGGTCGGAAAGACATTACTTTTGAGATTATCAATTGATAATGCTAGTCGGCTATTTTCACTGTTTGATATTCTATTATCACAATCTGGCGTAGAGATACGATCTTGGTGATTAGATTTTACTAGTTTTCTCTTTTACATTTCCCTTTACCACGATAAAAAATCATTATAATTCTACTTGTTCTTTAGTTAGGTACCGCCTACGTTACACCCAGCCATTGTCTCAGATGAATAATGAACCATTCCTGTTTGATTGCGAGGATAGATGAAAGAAAAGATACATTAAATACACTGTTCGCTTTTAAAGAAAGAAAGAAAGAAAGAAAAGAAGAAAGAAAGAAAAGGAAGATAGAGGCGGCGATAATGTTCTTGTGTGTTTTACGTCTGCTTCAGTGAAATGGAAAATGTCAAATCTTTTCATTTATACATTCTTACTTCCTTAAATAATTATTTGCATTCCTGTTTGTTGCGGAGTGAAAAGTACACCTCCGGTAACTATATGAACTAGACAATTGCTATGAAGAGCTTCATGTTAGAGGTAAGATAGGTAACCATTTCGATCCAGTCAGTTCGCTGTCGGGCACGCAGCAGGCTTGTCGAACTCTCTGCCTTCGGACAGAGAGGAACCCAGACAAGGCTATGCCGAAAGGCAGAGTCTTGTCTGAGGAGTCAGACAAACCCAACCCTGTGTATGCGGGGTCTAAAGGGAATTTTTACCCGAGCCTACGGGTTCGGAATCTCCCCATGTAAAAACCGGCCTTGTGCTACATCCTGCCTTGTGCCACATCCTGCTTTGTAGGAAGCTTTGGTAAATACTTAGACGTCTTTTGACAGAGGGCAACTCAGTCGGGGATCGGTTGTGAAAAACAGATAAGCAAAGTACCCGTTCCCTGTTGTTGTGGCGAATGAGTAAACTCTGGACCAGTAACCCGTGTGTCGCGCTTAGTTTCCCCACAAAAATCCTGACTTCGTGTCACATATCATCACAGTGAGGGGCTGGAAAAATACCTAATCGTTTCGAGCCGGGCAGTTTGCTGTCTGGCTTGCGACTGACAAGACTTCTGTCTTCGGGCAGATGGAAACTCAGTTGGGAGCTATGTCTTCGGATAGAGACTGGAATGAGAAAAACTGCCCAAGTAAAGTACCTGAGCTCCCTTTTTCGTATTTGGTTGGTTGATTCATTTTCTAAGGCTTATCAACTCTTTGCAGATTATTTAAATCAAGAAAATATTTTTAGATTGTAAGAATTTTTTTCCAGATAATAATGTTTTAGTGATACTAGTCTTACTAATTAAACGATTGCTGGGGGAGAAGAGATGGGTTCATACCTTCCTCCAAGGCAGTGGTTCCCAACCGATTTTGGGTCATGCCCCAGTTTGTTATTTCTAAAATTCTGGCACCCTCTGCAATGATCACTAAATGCTCAAACGCACTGATTGGCCAACAAAACATGGGCTCTTCCAGCAACATGCATCACGCCCTCTTCTTTGTTGACTGAGACACGCAAATGTTGGGAGACGGGAAATACCGTGTATGCCAAATACACATGTACATACATACACACAAAATATTTTTATGTGTGCATACTGTATATGCATCATATGTATTAACACACATTTCACTCAGACTCACTAGAAAACAATTCACTGTTAATAACTCATTCTCGACTTGCCCCCTTATACTGTTGGTATAGTAAGCCGAAGGGTGCACATACCACGCATGCCCCACCAAAATATTACCATGCTGCACCTGTGGGATATGCGCCCCACGTTGGGAATCATTGTTCCAAGTGTTTTTGCACGTAAGTGAATATAACGAACCTAACAGGAATTGGAACTCGGCTCTCTGATTAATAATTCCGAGCCTTTATTCATTGCACTAGTCGCACATCCAAGCTTACATCATCTGATATTCCCAAGCGATCACCCATCTAAGTATTGCCAAGGCTCGACGTTGCTTAACTTCGGTGGTCGCATAAAAACCAACTAACAATTCCGAGCCGTATTCTAGTACACCACCAGCACATCCATGCTTTCAGCACGTAAAATTTCCAAGCGCTTACCCATCTAGGTATTGACCAAGCATGACGTTGCTTAACTTTGGTGATCGTACGGGAACTGGTTTTTCAAATTGAGGTGACTGGATTTGCCCAATCCACTTTATCCGACCCCGAAAGAGTTCAAACGCCTTTACGTCGTCTTGGATGTTATTATTTTTCACCTTACAACCCCTTTTCTCACAGACGAAACATTGCAAACCTCTCGCTACTATAACCCCGAAAATGCTCTGACGAGATACATTACTTAGTCCAGTCAGTTAAGACCTCAGAGCCACAACATGTAGACACGGGCGAATCGTCCTCATTATCTCCGTATTCCATTTATAAGAAGTAACTTTCATTTGGGCAGCTCCTGAGAGGATGCTTCCCCGATCGCTACAATCTTGACCTCTTCAAGTCCATGGTCAACCGTTATCTATCTAACATATCTCCGTAATCTACAATTCGTACGTCCATAAAACAGCTTCATTCAGCAACACTCTCCCTTGAGTGAATGTTGGACTTTTGCATTGAGTAAACAATGGAGTAGAAATACTCTATGAATAAAGATATACCGCTGTGTGTTTAGATAAGTATATTTATTCAGGCCTGTTTTGGCATCCCTACATGTGTTTATGTGTAACCGAGACAGGTTTAAGAAGACTTGAAAAAAAGTTAAATAAGTTTATGATAATCCGTAAAGCAATCTATTTTTTTAATCATTTCACCCCAAGCAAGACAATAAAACCATTAAGTGGAAAATGGATACTGTCTGTAATAAATATGAGAAAAGAAAACCTTATTAAGGAGAGAGAACAATAAAAGAAGAAGAATTAAGATAGAATATAACGATCGACATTGACTTGAGAGTTGTAATACGAGCTTTGTTTTAATATTTACAGATCATGAATGACGCTTCTACTTAAGCGACTTGTATGTCGACATTTCCTAATTAATTAATAAATACCATCATTTTTTGACATCTCTTTCTTGATAATTAACTTCTCATTTCTTTATTTTATCTCTTTCGTCTCTTCTTTTCTTCCCTTTCTTTACACTTTCCAGTCAGCCATTATTACTTTTACTCATCGCTTACAGTTACGTCCCTTTTCTTACGCTATTATACGAATTTACATTCTCTCTTTTTTTCATGCGCGCTCTCTCTATATATGTATACATTTTTTCTTTTCTCTTCATATACTATTCTTCTCCTTTTTTTTTTTCTATTCTTTATTTACTCTGTTCTTTCCTTCATCGCTTTTCTACTTTCCTGTCTTTACTTTTTCTATTTTCCCATCCGTTTTCCTTCCTTCCATTTTGTTTATTTCTTGTTACCAGCCATGTTTTCCATCCATGCTTGTTAATTGGATGCCAATCTTGTCCTGTTGTTCGTGTCCACAGTTTCACGACGGATCACTTCAGATCCCGCTGTCAACGCCGGGATATCTTGTCTTTGCATTTGGTGTGCATGTCGCCCTGGAAGCGAAGAAAGGCCTTTGCGAAACAAAAGACAGCCATGTCAGAAAAATCAGAGACCTTCAGTCAGCCAGCATAATTCAGACTGTGGTTGTCGGAAACACACTTCCAGATTGTGGCTAATCACCTAATAAAGCATATTATTTCGATGAGATAAAGGGAGATAAATCGTCATCTTCATGCTCCTACTTTGATTTTGGAGACAGACAAACGTCCCAGACTTGAAAAATTGACGCTTTCTCATTCACGGAGAATCTAGAAGTTCTTAAGTAGCCTGACACACTTATGAGTTAAATTTCGATAAGAAAAATTCATTTTATCCATGAAAAGATTAAGTACATCGACAACGAAGGAAATTATGTCGAAAAATAAATATTTAAAGTGTAAAATAAGTTCTTTTTTTTATCATTAAGTTGCTTCTTATTCATGTGCCTATTTATATGAAGTGCTACTCTAAGATTTATAGAATAGGAAAAAGTACGTGACTGTAGTACAAATTTTGCCGCTGCCCTTTATGAGCAGTGTCTTTTGTGAATTAGCATGCAACAACAGGAAAACAGATGCTAAGGTAAATAAATTTTTCATTTATTGAATGATTTTCAATTTTGGTTGATTTATTAAAGCAAACAAAATATAAATATATTTTAGTTATTTACAAAGTATGGGTTAGTTTGTACACAGGGAAACAAGAACGGGGCATCTGCTGATGAACGAACTCACAAGTCTGCAAGACCAGCTTGTTAAGCAATTTCGCTACAACGCGGTGTCCGTTTTGTATGTCCAAGGAAGCAAACATTCTGCATATAATAATCCGTGATATAATGCATTTTTTGTACTGGATGTTTTGGCATAAAATACTTTTTAAAAAAATAGCTTTTTTTGTACCGGATATATTAGCATAAAAATAATTTAAAAAAAAAATAGCTATTTTTTTACCGGATGTTTTAGCATAAAAATAATTTTATTTCTGATTCGATGTATATTGTTTTCAGATTTATGTAAAATTTAAGAGAAATGGAATGATGTTGAATTTCTTATTTAAATTATTAATTTTCAAAACATTAAAAAAATTCACTTAAAAATTACTAATTAAAAAAATTACCTTGAGCTCCTTGATAAGATCCAAAGAAGAATCGGTAATATTATTGGTCGTCATCTGGTCGCTCGCCTTCAGTCACTTACCCACCGATTGTGTCCTATCTATAAATACTTTTATGGTAATTGTTCGGGAGAGCTCTTCGCCACGGTACCTTTGTAGTGGGAGGGCTCCATTTTTCAAACCAGTCCGAGACTCATCAAGCGCCTGAGGTGATTTTTTCGTTGGAACAATTTTGTATTACGTTAAGTTTGAGCTTTAATTTTCCTTACGCTCTTTTGATGATTGTTTTTGCCAAAAGTTTGAATTTTGTTTTTCAGTTGTCACCTTCCCACAGTTTTTTTTTAATTTTTTAACGCCTATTTTTTTTTTACTGGGCTTTTAATTTATTTTATTGTGTAAATTATATTGAATTTCAGTTTTTCTTTTAATTTTTTAATCCCCGCCTGACATTAACTTTTTGATAATTCCTTTTTTCTCTTGAAGAAGGAAATTTGTGATTTATTTGTCTAACGAATTTTTTGTTGGCAATCTCTTCTCTTTATAGGACTTTTGTTTGATTTTTTGCTTTCTTTTCCGTTTTAGTTAAAAAGGATAAAGGAAATAAATTCCTGTTTTGCACTGAAAGAAAAAATATATAAAAGAAATAGTTTTGTTTTTATAATATAAAAAATATTAAGAAAAATGTCCGACAAATATAGGTCGGCCAAAAAAATCTTTTTGGGTCAAAAAAGAAAAGAAAAGAAAGGCCTCCTGATAAAGATAGACAAAAAGATGAAAATATCGAAGAATCAACCACATTGAATGACCAAGAATTGAGAAAAAAGTATGGTGGCCAAAAGTAATCAAAATTCGGTGGAAACCAAAGAATCTGCAAAGTCAACTTTTGATATAAGTACGGTGGCCGAAAAGGGCAACAATTCGGATGATACAAGCTAAAGACAGGAGTAACAGCAACAAAAACGACAATGTAGCGGACAAGGATACTTCATTTCATGCTGAAAGCCCTCATTGAACTGTATTATCAACATGACAGTGTTCCTAGAGAAAGGCAAGTGTTACGCACATCTTATCAAGGAACATTAGTATCATCTACATTAGTAGATCCCGTGGATTTACAGAAAATTAAAAAAAAATTGTGTCAGTCTTGCTGGTGGACAAGCGTTCGCACAAAATTTGTCGCTTCACAAAAAACAACGTTATTAAGTCCTTTACGTCCCTTCGGGTCAAACGCAAAGAATCATTCACGGTAAGGGTTACTTCATGTGGAACATAATGTTGTCCATGCTTGCCGACTGTGAAGATGCCTTTGGTCGTGATTTAATCACAAAAGACTTGATTTTAAGAACGGAATATGAGGGTTGACGTAGGACCAAATTTTCACTATATGAGGTCCCTCCTCAGATCTTCGGGGAACACTTGTGGAAGGAGCTTCCATATAATGATAGATCGCAAAGTCTTCATCTCTATTTCCAACTGTCTGGATGTAGAGGGCCAGAAAATACCGGTCATTTTGACCAGCCGTAGACCGACATACAGGAAGTGTGCAAAGACCGGTTACCTCTCCTCTTCCTGCCCAGATAAGAAGGACACTGGCCACCGCTGACCCAAATCCCCTTTGGTCGAGTCTGTTTTTTCCGTCTCGCCTGTAATGGACATGCCAGCGTCCAGGACCGGTGTGGTAAAACACCCGTTTGGGTTCATTTCACGGTCCCCATTCCCCTAAAAGCATTGCTCGCCGCTTGTACGGTTGCTGAGAAGAAAAGGGGGGAAATGGCAGGTCGTTGACAGGGCCAAAAGGAAGCTCTCATCCTCAGGCAGCGTGACATCTGCCTTCGGAAGCCACCCAAATTAATGGCACAGTTTCACTCCCTCTACCAGTTCCAAGGTCAATTCCCCGGCCAGCTATGCCGAACAAATGAGCTCTTGTCTACGCATATCTGGTGAGCAGGCTTTACGTGCTGGACGTTACTATAAAGGAGAAGGCTCTTCGTCTCATTGGGGTTTATGCGCGCAATGACCATGCTGGGCGGCCTGATTTGTTTAGGCGAATTGAGCCGTTTTTGACGACTTCTCGTCTGGTAGTTTTAGCGGGGGATCGGAATGCCGTCCTAGACCCCCCCACATAGACCTTATAGGGGCAAGTTCGGCTACTACCAAAGGGATGTGAAACCATTTAGGACTTTATCACCAAGTTTGATCTTGTCGATAAGTACCGTAATGAACACCCACAGGATGTAGTGCGAATAGGGGCAGCTCTTCTACGGAGGTGCGTTCTATCTACCTCGACCGAATCTTAGTTAAGAGAGTCGATGTAGGGCTCTTATGGTGTCCAACTTTTCATTCGATAGTTTGCTCGGATCATAGGCTCATCCGGGTTCGTGTAGTAAACGTCGTGATTATGGCATAGATGTAAATCGTGTAATATTTCGAGACCTATTTTTAACATCTTTTCTTATTTACACTATTTACATTGTTCGGATTGTTGTCCTCATCATTATTGCCATATTCACAATGT